TTTTTCAGACTGTTCACTGTTGTCATATAGAAATGCTACAGATTTTTGTATGTTGATTTTGTATACTACTACTTTACTGAATTTTTTTATCGGTTATAATAGTCTTTGGATGGAGTCCTTAGGTTTTTCCAAATATAAGATCACATTGGCCAGGTGTGGTGTCTCACACCTGTAATCTTATCACTTTGGGAGGCTGAGGAGGGTAGAAAACCTGAGGTCAGGAGTTCCAGACCAACCTGGCCAACGTGGTGAAACCAACTCTACTAAAAATACAAATATTAGCTGGGCATGGTGGTGGATGCCTGTAATCCCAGCTACTCGGAGAGGCTGAGGCAGGAGATTCATTTGAACCTGGAAGGCAGAGGTTGCAGTGAGCTGAGATGGTGCCACTGCACTCCAGCCTGGGCAGCAGAGTGAGACTCCATCTCAAAAAATAATAATAATAAGATCACATCAGGCCGGGCGCGGTGGCTCAAGCCTGTAATCCCAGCACTTTGGGAGGCCGAGGCGGGTGGATCACGAGGCCAAGAGATCGAGACCATCCTGGTCAATATGGTGAAACCCCGTCTCTACTAAAAATACAAAAAATTAGCTGGGCATGGTGGTGCGTGCCTGTAATCCCAGCTACTCAGGAGGCTGAGGCAGGAGAATTGCCTGAACCCAGGAGGCAGAGGCTGCGGTGAGCCAAGATCGCGCCATTGCACTCCAGCCTGGGTAACATGAGTGAAACTCCGTCTCAAAAAAAAAAAAAAAAAAAAAAGATCACATCATCTTCAAATAAGGATAATTTGACTTCTTGCTTTCCAATTTGGATGGCCTTTATTTCTTTCTGTCGTCTGATTGCTCTAGGTAGGACTTCCAGTACTATGTTGAATAACAGCGTTGAAAGTGGGCATCTTTGTATGTTCCAGATCTAAGAGGAAAGGCTTTCAGTTTAATTTTATTTTTTAAATAAACTTTTTATTTTCAAATAATTTCAGGTTTACAGAAAAGTTACAAAGATAGTACAGCAAGTTCCCATATATTCTTCGCCTAGTTTCACCTAACATTAACATCTTAGATAACTTTGGTACATTTGTCAAAACAATGAGATTAACATTGGTGTATTTACTATTAACTAAATTCCAGATTTCATCCAATTTCACCAGTTTTGCCACTAAAGTTCTTTATATTTCCAGGATCCAACCGAGGGTAGCACACTGTATGTGTGTCATCCCTCCTGAGGCTCTTCTGGTCTCTGACAGTTTCTCAGTCTTTCCTTGTTTTCCATGACTGAAAATTTTCAGATATTTTGTAATATGAACAAGTATTTTGTAATATGTCCCTAAAGTTGGGTTACTGTGATATTTTCTTTATGCTTAGACTGAGGTTGTGTGTTTGGGGGAAGAATATCACAGAGGTGACATGCTCTTCTCAGTATATCAGGAGGTATATGATACCAACTGGCGATGCTGATCTTGATTTCCTGATTAGGGTAGTGCTTGCCAGGTTTTTCCACTGTAAAATCACTTCCCTTTCCCATACTCTGTTTTTTGTGAGTGAGCCCATAAATCCAACACACTTGGGAGGAGAGGTGGTGTGGGGTGGTTAAGCCCCATTTCCTAAAGGGCTGGGTGTGTGTGTGCGTGTGTGTGTTTTATTATTTAGAATTCTTCTTTAGGAAAGATTGGTACCTTGACCCCACTTTATTTATTCAATCATTTGCTTATAATGTTATGAATTCAGGTGTATTTATGTATTTTTTTAAACCAAGTATTTTTAAATATATTTTTTAAATTTTATTTATTTGAGACAGAGTCTCACTCTGTCACCCAGGCTGGAGTGCAGTGGCATGAACACAGCTCACTGCAGCCTTGACCTCCTGGGCTTAAGCAATTGATCCTCCCACCTCAGCTTCCCAAGTAGCTGACCGTCACCTGCCACCATGCCCAGCTTGTGTATTTATTTGTTGCTCAAATTGTTCCCACTTTAGGCACTGGGAGCTCTTTCACATTGGGTCCTGTATCCCTTTGACATATTCTCATCCTTGTGGAGTTTTTGAGCAATTCTTTACTTTCTGTCACTATAAGATGCTCCAGGGATTCTCTACTTGTCTCTTTTTCCTACTCCACAGCACCCCAGTCACTAGCTTAAAAATGACCCACTTCTGTCTCCCAGGATGGGAGCATTTTGCAGCACCTAGATACAGTACCTGTCCTCTCAACCCTAGGATTTGAGCCACCTGTCCAACTGGGTCCAATCCTAAGTTTCCATAGGATCTTAGGTATTTTGCTGTGTTTGTAGACCCCATCCCTGGAACCAGATGGAGACCCTTTTGTCTCCTACCAACATCCTCTTTCAACCTTACAGCTTATCTAATATTCAAGAGCTGGCAGCAGGCTGTGTAACATTCAAAACAATCTGAATATTAGGATGAACGCTGGCCAGGTATGGTGGTTCACACATATAATCCCAGCACTTTGAGTGACTAAAGCAGTAAGATCACCGGAGGCCAGGAATCAAGACCAGCCTGAGCAACACAGCAAGGCCCCATCTCTACAAAAAAATTAAAAAATGAACCAGGTGTTTTGGTACACATTTGTAGTCCTAGCTACTTGAGAGGCTGAGGCAGGAAGATTGCTTGAGCCAAGGAGTTCAAGGCTGCAGTGAGCTATGACCACACTACTGTACTACAGCCTGGACAACAAGTAAGACCCTGTCCCTAAAAAACAACAAAAAAAAGACCATCTGAATTATGAAAAGAATAGCTAGCTGATTTTGGAGGAGAGAGCGTGAGTTCCATTATATATATACATGTGTGTGTGTGTATATATATATATATATACACACACACACATACATACACACATACATATAATGGAATTTATATAATATCCATTATATATTATATATATATCATAATATATACTATGTATCCATTTTCTATATATATAAATCAGGCTTAGAGTATGTGCAATATCCAAATATCTTTTGCCCCCACCGCCTCTTGTTTTGTTTCTTTTTTTAGAGCCAGGGTCTTGTTATGTTGCCCAGCCTGGCCTTGAACTTCTGGGATCAAGTGATCTTCCCATCTCAGCCTCCCAAGTAGCTAGGATAGCATGCCTGGCCCCCTTTTGCTTTTGATTCAGCAAATATATGTCCCAGAAAATTGTTTTCTTCATCTTCCACAATCTAATCCAGTCTTCAGGCCCAGGCCCTTTAGTCATTTCTACGTAATTACTGCCTTGTATTAATAATGGATTACTCTCTTGCTGTTTTTGGCCTCAGATGTTTACTTTCTCCAAATAACTGCAAAAGCTGTCACCCTATCATTTGTCTCTGCATAGTTCTAAAAAAAATCTTTGAACTTCCTTAGCTCTGCCTAGAGCACGAATCCCATTGACAATGACCGGATTCTGTGGTATATCAGATCCACATACACTTCTGAGAAAGTCTTCAAACATTCTCAGATTTTCTTTGGCTGTTTCTTTTCCCCACCCCAGCCTCCTTTCTTCCAAAACTTTCCTTGACTCTTGGCCTGCCCCGTAATCTTGGCAGCTCTCTGTACTTACCCTGCTGTTCTAAACCACTTCAATTCTGTCTTATATTAGAATTGCTATGTGCTTGTGAGTTTCTAGGAAGTAGGGTTAAGATCTTAGTCATCTTTGTCTCTGCCATAAGGCCAGAGTGTGTCTAGTTTCTAATGTACCTGAAGGCTGAGCAGTACTCCACCTTGTTCACAACACCCAAATATTGTGTCCAACTACATAAGAATTGAATTCACTCGATGTCTTCATACCATCCACGTACTTGGCAACTAAAAGATCTTGGGGATTCTAGAGTTCTTCTGCATCCAGCCTTGGAGAAATCTAACCCTGTGCCCTAACCCCTCCAAATGTGGGAGGGGGCTACTGTACATGTTGGCATCATCAACAGGATCAAGGCATGCTCTGCCCTTTGGGGCCCCAGAATACTAGGCATTCTCTCAGACTTGACAGTGTTCATGACACTATGCTGAGAGATGAACTGACCTGATGAAAGAATGTGGAAGGGATTTGTGGGGGAAAAGACACAGAGGGTTTTTGCAGGATCCTTTCCTAACTTTAGCCATCTTGAATTTCGAAGAAGTATTTGTGAAGGATGAAAGGGGTGGCACTCAGGAGGCCCCGTAAGAGCAGTGGCTGGGGAAAGGGGGTTTGCTGATGATCCAAGGCAGCAGTGAGAAGATGTGGAAAAGGAAAACAGAGCTCAGATAGAGGCTGCAGGCCCACAGGTGCAGAGGGACGTATGGCCACCACAAAGGGGTTGATTACTTTATCCGCATGAAACCAAAGTCTGGCTCCCTTCCAGTCACCCTCTTTCCAGAGAGTTTCATCCCGAGAGGAATGTTCCTGAGTGTCTATTACCTGGATATTTCTCAGGCACAAAGAGGAACCAGCTCTCTACTGTCAGGGCCATATATCACAGGCCCTAAAGAGCTGGCATGAATCTCGAATGAACAAACATGCCTTTGTCAAAACATGGGGCACCTGGTGTCTAAAATGTACAGCCTGGGATTTCTAGTGTTTGTTGGGTCCCACCACCAAGGGTGTGCAGCACCCCCAGAGTTCCTTGTGTTCCTCTTACAAACACAGGGCAGGAGATGTGACCCTCATTTCATGGTCTAATGCATGAATGTAGCATTCATTCTAGGGATAAGGATCTTGTCCTGTCTGATTAAGACTGCCCTTTTGCTGGGTTTCCTATGCTAGGGACACAGCTTCTTCCCTCTTGTCCTGGAATTATCTAAAAGTTCCCACCCCTCATCATTTGTCTGTGTGGGATTGGAGTGTGTGTGCATGATGCATCCTGGCTGCATGTTGGCAATGAGGAATATAGGGATGCTATATAAGGCTTGTTAGAGACAATGAAATTGAGTTGGGGGCAGAATTAAACAAACAAATCTGCTATTAAGACCAACCCATGCCATCCGTCCTGTCCCACCTCTGATCTATTCAGTTTGATTTACTGACTTTGAAAGGTTAACTTTCCAAAATAAGACATTTCATTTTATTTCTGAAATCAGAATAATTGAATGAAAATAGAAACTACCAGGTCAAGAGCAAGAACTCTCCCCCAAAGTGGAGAGAATCCTTCTCCCCACCCTGGGCTGCTGGTGCCCCTGGAAACGGGGCTTCTCCCTCCCACATGTGCTGCTGGCACAAGTCCCTTGGGTGGGCTGGGCTGGAGTGGGCAGGGTTGGGCCCCTTTCACCCAACCAAAAACACCAGTTCACTGAACGGCAGGCTCTAGGATCTCGAGGGGGTCCGCTGTGCGCTTCTGGCCTGGCCCAGCAAGAGCGCTCCTGACAGCCTCACAGACAGAAGGAGCTGCAGCCAGGTGTGCCTGAGCCTCAGTGATGGAGCACCGGAATAAGAGGCTGAGCAAGGCGATGGGGATCACCTGTGGGGAAAAGGCAGCGGGCACTGAAGCCTGAGGAAATGAGGTCATCAGAGAAAGAACCCCGGAGGAAGTTCATGTGCAGTGGCTCACGCCTGTAATCTCGACACTTTGGGAGGCCAAGGCAGGCAGATCAGTTGAGTTCGGGAGTTTGAGATCAGCCTGGCCAACATGGCGGAGCCCCGTCTCTACTAAAAATACCAAAATTAGCTAGGTGTTGGTGGCTGGAACCTGCAATCCCAGCTACTTGGGAGGCTGAAGCAAGAGAATCGCTTGAACCCAGTGGACAGAGGTTGCAGTAAGCCAAGATCACATCACTGCACCCCAGCAACCTGAGTGACAGAGCAAGACTCCCTCTAAAAAAAAAGATATATATATATATATATATATATATATGCACTGGAGGAGCTAAAACATTTGATATAGGAATCAGGAGTCACTAGGTTAGATGCAAAATAGGATGTTATGAAGGCTAGAAAGTGGTAAGGAGGTGAATTAAGAGCAGAGAGAAATCTTCACTTTGACCAGGAAAACTATTTGTCCTTTGAAACCCAGTCCTTCTCCCTCTTTTGCCTGACTCCCCTCCTAGGCAGAATAGAAGACCCTTTTCTCTGCCCCTGTAGTACTTTTTCACACCTCAGTGACCACTTGTCACAGTCATGTCTCCCCCATGAATGCAGAAGTCCTTGTGAGCAGGGTGCCACTGAGCTTTGTAAACCCAGCGCCAAACTTCCTGACACATTGAAAGTACTCAAAAAGTATGTGTTGAATGACCAGCAGTGGGCAGGATACCTGTTCCTTCTCATGTGCAACCCGGACATGGCAGGAGATGGGAGCAGCCCGAATATCATCTGACAGTTGCTGGGGAAAGTGGATTGCTTGGAGGAGGCTCTCGATGCATCGAGCCTTGGACTGTCCAGAGAACCGCTATGGAAGAAATGGTAAGATCAGTGTCAGGCTAAAGGCCAGAGGAACTAAGAATGGAGTCAAGGGAGAAGAATGAACTGGGAGAGTGGGAGGCTGGGCTCCTGAGGCTGCAGAGTCTATAGATGATTTGTCCATGTCGGCAATTCTAAACCCATAATTCCCAGGTGTAAAGAAAAGCTGGGTTAAAGGGCTTGGTGGTGGGCCTTGATTGGCTGTGTTAAACTGGAGAATTAATGGCAAATTGGTCAAATTTGCATCTGTGTCCCACCAATCCCATAGGCTGGTAATCTGGACTCCCTCTCTCTAGTTTCCTCCCTAACCAAATCCATCTTGCACACTAGTGTAAGACTGTTCATCTGCAAACACTGCTTCCATTTTGTCACTACCCTCCTCTCTGTCTAGATCAGCATTGTCCTGCAGAAATATAATGCAAGGCTGGGCACGGTGGCTCACATCTGTAATCCCAGCAATTTGGGAGGCCAACACAGGAGGATCACTTGAGCCCAGGAGTTTGAGACCAGCCTAGGCAACATGGCAAGACCCCATCTCTACAAAAAATAAAATAAATTAGCTGGGCATGGTGGCACCTGCCTATTGTCCCAACTACTCAGGAAGCTGAGGTGGGAGGATTTCATGAGCTCAGGAGTTTGAGGCTGCAGTGAGCCATGATGGTGCCACTGCACTCCAGCCTGGGTAACAGAATGAGACCCTGTCTCTAAAAAAATAAAAATGAAGAAAAATATATAATGCAAACCACATATGTAAGTTTAAGTTTTTAGTAGCTGCATTACAAAAAGAAATAGGTGGGCTGGGCGCGGTGGCTCAAGCCTGTAATCCCAGCACTTTGGGAGGCCGAGGCGGGTGGATCACGAGGTCAAGAGATCAAGACCATCCTGGTCAA